CTGAGTAAGTTCCTGCTGTTCTGTGCCAAGACAAAACTACTTAACAATGATTAACAGATCTCTGTGTGTACTTCTTGAACTCATCTGGGAAGACAGTCTTTGTCTCAGGGCTGAAGTGATTACAGCAGACTAAATGAGAGTGTATTGTTAATAAGCGTGTCCTGGGTTTCCTGACTCCTGATATACCTTTCTTGCCACTTGGACCTTTTAAGTAGCTCAGCTCACAACCCACTGTTTTAGTATAAAAACCTTGGGTCTGAATGTCGATCTTCAGAGTGAATTCTTCACCCTTGTTGTGAACATCTGTCTCCACTATGCAGTGAATAAATCTAATCTGAACCTGCCACAGAATTGGACCGGACAGAATTTTTTTTCCTTCAACAATGTAACATTGTCAAAAGCTCGCTAAACTTGGGCTGAGGGACATCTGATGACTGAATGGGGCGCTTCTGAATATTAGCAACTGGTGCCAATGCAAAGGGTAAAGGAAGCCTCTTCTAAAATTCCTTAACTTGCTAATATTCACATCACTAGATCCAGGTAACGCAATTTAATTTCAACTGACAAATGGGAGCCAGTTATTAGGAAGTTTTTAATGATTTCTTTTTAAAGAAAAAATCAAAACAAAAGGCCTGATCTGTTGTTGTTGTGTCTTGTGTTTAAATGTTTGTGTGTTTATGGCATACTAGCAGGTTGTACTGTAATCCGTACAGCAATTTTTTCCTGTCTTCTGAACATTTTCCTTTACAATCTTTGCAACGTGGTAAAGTCTGTATGCAGGTTGTTTAATAATTAAAGGGCCAGTGACCGGTCTGTGACTTTTACCTGGACTGTACAATAATTAAGTGGGCAGTAATCAGTGTGTATGAATTTATCATGGCCTAATTGCATAGCCATAAAGTAGTACAAAGATCGTATAATAAAGTTGGGGATCTTTTTCTACTCAAGTCCTTGTGATGTTTGAGTTTTCCTCTATACCACAGTAATGACTGTGTAAAGCCGTGTAATAAGGTGTACTGAAGCTGGAGGTTTAGGTCCCCAGTAGATTTTATTCTTGAGTGCTGGATCTCTTCCACTAACATGTTACACCAATGATCTGTTGTCTAACCTATTTGATTCTTTGGTGACAAATTTCTGTAAAAGGCTTTGCAAAAAATTGGATGTTGTGTAACTCATGTACATTTCTTTACCGATGCTGTTTTTTTTCTTTACACATGCATGTACTGCAGTCAGAAACATTCATTTAAATCCAGTACCACATGAGATGTTTCTGTCTGCACCTCACAAGAATATAACGGACAAACCAAGACAGCTCCTATCACATTCCTCTCCTATGCGAGTTCAGGTTAGTGAGGTCCAACTCCTCACTTATAGTGATTGACTGTGATTTATGTCCACTGATTAAGTTCCTGCTGTTCTGTGCCACAGACTATTTAACACTGATTAAAAGAGTCATCCAGCCCACAACCCATTGTTTCAGCCTAGCCTTTGATGTAAGCAGTACACAAACCTTGTTCTGAATGTTGATCTTCAGAGTGAATTATATGCCTTTGTTGCGAACATCTGTCTCCACTGCACAGTTAATAAACCTCATCTGAATCTGCCACACAATTGGGCCTTCAACATTCTCTGACAATGCCACATTGTGAACAACAAATCTGTGTTAAAATCAGCAGGAGAGCTAATTAACCTCTGCTCTAAGCAGGCAGTGACTGCAGCTAACAGCTCACAGAAGCTGCACTGAGTTACACTGTTTTGCGTTTAAACTCTATTCAGTAAAAATGAGTATTGGGGGAAAGTACATAATAAGACTCTCTAATCTTGTAAAATGTAATTTTTGGTGAGAAACCTGAACAGATACAGTTGTTTGAGGGAGAAATTGATGATGTTTTCACAATGATATAAAATAGATATTAGAGAGGGAATCGTGGTTTATTATAAATATTAAAAAGGCTTTTGAAGCAGTTATTTTTTTAAAGCTGTTCTTCACGTGAGAGGTTATATTAAAGGTTGTTTCATAAATTTGTGTGATTGAATTTGTGCTCATTCAAAGGTGTTGTAATTAAGGGCTTAAAGGACAACTTCGGTATTTTTCAACCTGGGCTCTATTTCCCCATGTGTATGTGTGCGTATGATTCATACCACTCATTCTAAAATTGGTTCAGTATTGAGGCGCGATACACACATACTCACTTACAGTACCCAGCGGGGCCACCCTCCCCCTCTCTGCTCCAACACTGACTGACAGCTGACTCCACTCATTCACACTCACCACTGCCCAAGGGCCGCTACAATATGCTATCTACAGAGATAGCACTGGCGCTCTGAACCGGTCAGTGGCAAAAAAAAGCACTTTTATACGGGACGCATTTGCCCCCATTACCGTTTTAGCTCGTTTCGCGCCTCAATACTGAACCAATTTTGGAACGAGTGGTACCCATGAATCATACGCACACATACACATGGGGAAATAGAGCCCAGGTTGAAAAATACCGAAGTTGTCCTTTAATTACTATTTAGACATTTTTATAGTGTAGATTTCTTTGTGTCCCTGTTACAAAAGGGGGAATAAATAACAACAAAAACAAAAGAATAAAGATTATAAAAACATTGGTATCAGCTATCTGCCAAATTGTTATTTTAAACATCGGTATCTTTAATGGCCCGGAATTTTCAAGCTGGTGAATCCCTATTAAAAGACAAATATACAGCTTTTATTTGTGTGGAAAACCGCCTACGTGCTCCCTCTCCTGAAAGGGGGTGACCGCACTTTATTGAATAATTATAGGCCCATTTCCAAGCTCTCTATTTTAGCAAAAGTTCTTGAAAGGCTGGTGAATGACCAGGTCAAGGATTACCTGAGCCTGAACAATATTTTATCTCCTTTTCAATCTGGTTTTAGGAAGCAGCATAGTACTGCAACTGCTACCATTAAAGTGATAAATGATATGTTGGAAGCCATGGATGCCAAGAAATATTGTGCTGCTCTTTTTATCGATCTTTCAAAGGCATTTGACACAGTCGATCACAGTATTTTACGTCAGCGACTGTCCACCATTGGAATGTCAGACCATGCAGTTGGCTGGTTTTCTAACTACCTTTCCAACCGTAAGCAGTGTGTGCAGTCTGATGGTCTTTTCTCTGGGTTCCTAAACACTGTAAATGGTGTGCCGCAAGGTTCTGTCTTAGGACCCACTCTCTTTACTATCTATATGAATGAGGTGGGCCAAAATATTAATGCATCTGTACATCTCTATGCTGATGACACCATTGTCTATTGTTGTGCATCTTCTGTTGCCCAGGTGTTCACAGATCTGCAGTCTGCATTTGACGCCATTCAGGCACAATTGTCTCAACTCAGGCTAGTTCTAAATGCAGGTAAAACTAAGTTTATGTTCTTTTCAAATAAAAAGAAGGTGCCTGCTGTTCTACACTGTATTACGTCTGCTCAGGGTACCCCCATTGAGTCTGTGGCCACTTACAAATATCTAGGCATCACAGTGGATGATAGCCTCTCTTTTAAATGTCATGTTGACCAGTTACTGAAGAAATTGAAGTTAAAGCTGGGGTTTTTCTTCAGAAATAGAGCCTGTTTCTCTTTTAAAGCCAGAAAACGTATTGTTGCGGCCACTTTCTTGCCACTCCTGGATTATGGTGATGTTGTATGTATGAATGCCTCTGCTCACTCCCTGCAACTGCTGGATGCCGCGTATCACGGGGCCTTGAGATTCATAACTGGTTGTAAACCCCTCACACATCACTGTACATTGTACTCTCTCACAAACTGGTCTTCACTTTCCATGCGCAGATCCACTCACTGGTATCTATTTATCTATAAATCCATCATCGGACTGCTCCCCTCCTATTTGTCCACATACTTGACACGGAAACAGTCCGATCGCAGCCTCCGGTCCCTGGACATCATCTCGTTTGACATCCCGTCAGTCCGTACTGAACTTGGCAAGAAGGCGTTCTCCTACGCTGCGCCTGCAACCTGGAACATGCTCCAGCAGAGGCTGAAGCTGTCAAGCTTTATTCCTTTAGGGGACTTCAAATTGCTTGTAGGAAGGCTGATGAGACAGTCTGTGGGGGTCTGCACATGTGCTTAACCAGTCCTATTCTTCTTTGCACTTTGTAGTTTGCACTATACTACTTTAATGTTTGTGTTTTGTGTTGTGTCTCCTGTATGTTCAGTTAGTCTGTAACTTTGTGTTCTGCTGCTGCCTACCTGGAACAGGTCTCTCTTGTAAATGAGACCCTGGGTCTCAATGAGATTTTATCTGTATAAATAAAGGTTAATAAATAAAATAATTTGAAGAAGTACTTTGATTATCAAGAACAAAACATGTACTGGGAACAAGCCTTCTCAAGTTTAAGGGAGACTCGTGGGTAAAACACATTTTCATTCAGATATCTGGAGGTGAGACTCTTTGAAAGTGGGCACAGCAGTTGTTCCCTTGCCATAATTTTGCCTAACTTTGGACCATTATTCAACCCCCCTCCAATATGGTCGGTACCACTGGATGCCGTAGTCACTATCTTTGCGCTAGCTTAAAAAATAAGTGTCCCAGAGACTCTTAAATACAGTAATATTGGCCAAAGAACTGAAGACACCCCGTGCACAGATGTGCCTCTGTCCTGGGTGTCAGCAGGCACGAGAGAAACCACAGAAACCAAGGGAAATTAAAGTTCCAGACAGTTTTATTAACAAATGAGGCGACATTAAAAACAAATAAGGAGCAAACTTTGCATGTCACTTCATCACATTTGCTCTTTTAATGCAGCCTAACATGTTGATGAATTGTCAACCTGAGTATCCTGGTGTGTGCTGGAACTTTAACTTCCTTTGGTTCATACAGTACTGTTGGCCTCCAAGTATTTTCACCAGCAATTTTATCAGAGTGGCGTGGGGGCACAACTGACATCATAATCAGAAGTACCTTTGTGGGATCATTTCTAAGGGGAAAAAGCTAAACAGGCCAACTGAGAAAATCACCCACCAGTGTGAAAAGTCCAACCCCAAGCATCATGGTCAGATATCGGAGTGTACGCTCGAAGTCTGCCAGGATATCATTTCCCTCTCCAGGCACACAGTTGTTGAACAGGGTGAACGGTAAGCCGTAGTAGTAGCTGAAGCCATGCTGGTTCGGATGGTGGCAGTGGTCCCCTCTGTGTTCACAGTTCACACCCAGGTGCCACTTACCTGCAGAGACACACAGAGAGAAAAAGATAGATAGAGATAGATGGCAGGAATGTGAATACATGGCAGCGATGCACTTGCAAAATTGCTTCATTTCAACATCGTACATACATTCAGGATTCTTTCTTTACTTTGCACAAAACTGTGTATACGCCATATGCAAAATCATGTAGGGCTTGGTGTGTAAATGTTAAAGTACAAGTACAGAGCTGTGTGTAAACATGCAGGTGCCCTTCTGTATAGCTGACCCAGCTTCAAGCACCTACATGATGAAATTTCCCCACAGGACCACAGAAGAAATGATCACATTAGCTTCTCTCACCCACTAGGCCTGTGGTGTATCCTTGTTGCTGCAGCCTCTTAGCAAAGGTGGTCTCACTGGGTGGCAGCCCCCCCGAACCCGCAAGAAACAGCAGCACCTGCACACGGCCAAAGCTACCCAATCCTAGTCAAAAGACACACACATGGGCAAAAATAAAACAAACAAACAAACATGGAACATACTGTCAAACATCGCTGTACAAATATGACCAGGATGCTCCTATTTGCACTGGCAAATAAGTTTAACAGTTTTCTTACCTGAGCGGAACGCGTAGCGACCTGTCATAAAAGCAGCACGGCTTGGGGTGCAGAGAGGAGCAGCTGCAATGTGCTGAGTCAACTTAACCCCTTCAGAAGCAAGTCTGTCTATGTTGGGAGTCCTGTAGGGACAGAACAGGTGTAAATAGGTATAATAAGGTAAAAGAGAGGCATATAGATATAAAATAAAAACACATTCAATTCCAGGCAGCACATCAGAGTGACACAAGAAACAGAGACATGATGTAATATACAGGCTGCGATGATGATGATGATGGTGATGATGACGATGATAAAAAAACGTTACTGATAATGAAAAGTCATAAAATCAAGAAAATAGAAACATAAACGGAAGATGTACACAGAAACACATTCGTTAAGAGAACTGACCTGATGGTGTCATTACCGTAGCATCCTATATCACCGATGCCCAGGTCGTCCACCATCATCAGAACAAAGTTGGGCTTCCTGTCCATCTCCTCCCCTGTTACATCTCTCCCTGCTGCCAGGAGCAGGGCAAGAAGAAGATGTGCCAGCAGGGGGGACCTTAGGGTGAAAGATTAAAAATGATTTGGGCAATTTTATTATCTGCTAATTTCCTCTCTTTCAAATATTAAATTGAATACATTTGGGTTATGGACTGTTGATCAGACAAAACTTTTCACTTTGGACTCCGGTAAATCGCAGTGGTGGAAGAAGTACTAGTATTTACGTAGTGTACCACACTGTATAAATACTCTGTTACAAGTAAAAGTCATGCATTGAAAAAGTGAAAGTACAAGAGCATTACCACCAAAATATACTTAAAGGACTGAAGTCAAAGTAGTGATTGTATTGTAGAGCCCATTTCAGAATCATATAGGCTACATCCTCCTGAGACCTGAACTTTTGTGTGGTATGCATTTTTAATTTCTCCAAGCTATTTGGGATCAGTAGGACCAGACAGGTATAAAAAAAACTAAACACTGTCAACGAAAAATTGAGTCCAAATGTCCTCAAACGAGACAGTGATAAAGTCCCAATGTCTTCAAACGAGTGCTTCATAATTAGCAGTGTCTTAGCTTGTTACTGTTGCTAAAATTGGTCAAACTTGTTGCCATATCAAACAACAAACATTATTAATCATAACTTAACAAGTTTCAACCATCAAATGTGATCAGGTTCTGTACCTTGTCCACTTTTGTGTCGGGAATGGCGGCAGACTGACTTGGCAGACGTGGCCGCCATCTTATTTTTACAAGATGGCACAAAAAAGTGTCCACAGATGAGGAGAACAGGTCTAATTTAAGTAGAATTAAGTATAAGGTCAAGTAAAACCACAATAGTGATGTCCACATATGAGGACACAGGGTCTCAGGAGGATATCATATTAATAGATTATATTCATTAATGCATTTATGTGCTGCAGCTTATGAATGTGGAGCTAACTTTGAATTCTTTGTATATTAATTTACATAGAGCTGGGTAACTTGTGTATTTCCTCCAGGTGACAGCTAAAGCCTTATTGATATACTAATATCATGATTCATTTACTGACTATAGTATGCATTCTTGATCTGCATCTGCTAAGTAATTAGTAACTAAAGCTGTCAGATGCTTAAGTGTTTCCTGTGGTTTGACTGGCAGGGAAAAAAAAAGTATGAACTGGTTCCCCTTACTTATCATAATGGCACAATGCCAACATTTGAGAGAGTTTGAGACAAGAGTCTCAATAAGCAACACTCCTGCTGTGGACACATTAACCTCACAACATGGACTTTTGCCTTTCACAGCACTAATGATGGATATCCCACAAACTCTGCCCTGACTTGTGCCAGCTGATGTGGCAGCGGTGGATACAGTGAGCAACACGTTGCACTGTTTAAATAAATAAAAACATAAACACTTGCACGTTTAAAACTTAAATCGTTTTAGCCTAACTACTGCAAAGATGCCAAGTGTGAACACAATCCTCAATGCCTTCAAGAGAAACCGTCGACATCAGACGGACTCATTTTTAGTTCATTCAGCTGGTTTTACGGTAGTTCGGTGAAAAGACACTGCGCCTGTTGTTGTTGTTATAAAGAGGCGAAGGTAAACCTGCCATGTGGACTCACCTCATTCCTGCACAATGCACTGATTCAGAGAGCTACAAAAACATTTCCCTCTCTGCTCCGGTGGCTGCATGACGCGCCTTCCTGACTTTACAGTACTGACGGGCAAATAAGCGCACCACCACACTTAATGCCTTAATGTATGGAATAAATGCGCACAAGAGTTATACACTCACCGGCCACTTGGACCATTTTTGCCTTCAGAATTGCCTTAATTCTTCATGGCATAGATTCATCACGGTGCTGGAAACATTCCTCAGAGATGTCGGTCCATATTGACATGATAGCATCACACAGCTGCTGCAGATTTGTCAGCTGCACATCCATGATGTGCATCTCCTGTTCCACCACATCCCAAAGGTGCTCTATTGGACTGAGATCTGGTGACTGTGGAGGCCACTGGAGTACAGTGAACTCATCGTCATGTTCAAGAAACCAGTTTGAGATGATTTGAGCTTTGTGACATGGTGCGTTATCCTGCTGGAAGTAGCCATCAGAAGATGATACACTGTGGTCATAAAGGGATGGACACGGTCAGCAACAATACTCAGGTAGGCTGTGGTGTTTAAACCATGCTCAGTTGGTACTAAGGGGCCCAAAGTGTGCCAAGAAAATATCCCTCACACCATTACACCACCACCACCAGCTTGAACCCTTGATACAAGGCAGGATGGATCCATGCTTTCATGTTGTTTGCACCAAATTCTGACCCTACCATCTGAATGTCGTAGCAGAAACCAAGACTCATCAGACCAGGCAATGTTTTTCCAGTCTTTTATTGTCTGACCTTGGTGAAGCCCGTGCAAATCGTAGCCTCAGTTTCCTGCTGTTAGCTGACAGGAGTGGCACCCGGTGTGGTCTTCTGCTGCTGTAGCCCATCTGCTTCAAGGCTTCTGCAGACCTTGGTTGTAACCAGTTGGATATTTGGATATTTTCTCTTTTTGGGACCATCCTCTGTAAACCCTAGAGATGGTTGTGTGTGAAAATCCCAGTAGATCAGCAGTTTCTGAAATACTCAGACCAGCCTGTCTGGCACCAACAACCATGCCACGTTCAAAGTCACTTAAATCACTTTAGTTACCCATTCTGATGCTTGGTTTGAACTTCAGCACGTCATCTTGACCACGTCTACATGTCTAAATGCATTGAGTTGCTGCCACATGATTGGCTAGTGAGCTATTTGCATTAATGAGCAGTTGATCAGGTGTACCTAATAATGTGGCCGTGAATGTATTTTTATAATTATTTACAGGGTACATACCGGTAGCATCTATCTATCTATCTATCTATCTATCTATCTATAAATCTATATAGCTCAAAAAAATTAAGGTAACACTTAAATCACGCAACAGATTTTGATGAACAAATTATTGAAGTTGAAAATCTTTACTGATGTACATTGTATAGTTTGTTAAGAACAAATTGACGTAACAACGGTCAGTGGAAACCAAAATCATCAACCCAGTGAGGACTGTATTCAAAATCACACCAAAAATCAAAGTAGAAAAAATTTAAATCACAGGCTGATCCAACTCGCGTGAGTTTTATCACAGCAACTCATAATGTGACTCAGTAGTGTGTATGGCCCCCGCATGCCTGTTTGCACTCCCGACAATGTCTGGGCATGCTCCTGATGAGTCAACGGATGGTGTCCTGGGGGATCTCCTCCCAGACTGGTACTTGGTGGTGTTGATACATAATGTCCCATAGGTGCTCAACTGGACCTAGGTCAGGGGAACAAGAGGGCCAGTTAACAGCATCAATACCTTCATCATCCAGGAATTGCCTACACACTCTGGCCACATGACGCCGGGCATTGTCCTGCACCAGGAAGAACCCAGGGCCCACTGCACCTGTGTAAGGTTTGAGGATTTCATCCTGCTACCTAACAGCAGTCAGGGCTATGACATGGAGGTCTGTGTGACCCTCCAAGGATATGCCTCTCCAGACCATCACTGACCCACCATCAAACTGGTCATGCTGAATGATGTTACAGGCAGCATAACATTCACCTCGGCGTCTCCAGACTCTTTCATGCCTGTCACGTGCTCAGTGTGAACCTGCTCTCATCTGTGAAGAGAACAGGCACCAATGGAGGACCTGCCGATTCTGGTGTTCTCTGGCGAATGCTAGTTGAGCTGTACAGTGCCGGGCTGTGAGCACAGGCCCTACTAGAGGATGTCAGGCCTGACAGTTTGGTCAGAAACATGCACACCAGTAGCCTGCTGGGCTCTGGCTGTACTTCTCCTTGCATGCAGTCCTGCTGCTGGGTTGATACCCCTCTGCAGCCCTGTCCAGCTCTCCTCTTGTAATGGCCAGTCTCCTGGTATCTCCTGCTGCTACTGAGACTGTGCTGGGACACACAGCAAACCTTCTTGTGACCGCATGCATAGATGTGCCTTCCTTTAGGAGTTGGACTACTTGTGCAACCTCACTGGGCTGCAGGTACCGCCTCATGCTACCAGTAGTGACAAGGACACTATCAGAACACAAACCTTGAGAAGAGTCAGTCAGGAAGGATGAGGAGAGCAACTTTCATTTGCATCAAAGCAGGTGAAATTGATTCACAATCACTTGCACTTCCTTAATGGACAAATTAATATCCCTGAAGTTTAACTGACTTGGTGTTATGATGAGTTCCATTTTATTCTGTGCATTGGATTTTGTTGTATTTATTTGCAATGTGAATAAAAGGAACAGTGATTATTAAGTGTTCCCTTCATTTTTTGAGCAGCAATACTCATGACCTCTCATCACATGTTGTCTGTGAGCAGTTTAACCAAGAAGAGCCAGAAAAACTAAACAAAATCTAAACTAAATTTTGTCTTTTACTTTCTTGTCTTTCTTCATCTTATGTCTTCAGGGGCCATATTCACAAAGCCTCCTGGTCCAAAAAGTTGCTCCTAGTGATGTAATTCTAAGAAAATTCTTAGAATTATGACATTACCCCTAAAAGTTGAGTTCTTGGTAAAGATAGAAGTTATTTACAAAGCATCATAGCCATTAGAAGAGCCTCTAAGGTGACAATTTGTGAGGAACAAGGAGGAGGACTTTTAAGGGGTTTAAGAGTTTCTTCAGCAGAAGAGAAAATGGTGGAAACACAGAGAGGTAGAAGTGGTATTCTCCAACACAATAACACTATAATGCCAGAAACAAAATCATCACAACACTCAGATATTTGGAAAACTGGAAGAAGGCAACAGTGCAGCAGTGTTGACTTGGGTCTGTCTCCATCCGCAGAGTGATCACGCTAACAATGACAACACTCTCACAGTTTCATATTGCAATGTAGTCCATTTCATTTCCACTGGGTGTCCACACCCTAAAGGCTCACAAAGAGGCGTGTCTGTGACAACCAATCACTTCTGTTGAAAGATTGCATCATACCTAGCAACGGGTCGACCACAGCTCCTCACTAAGGTAAAAGTTTCTGTTCCTTCCTTGCTCAGAGTTGCTCTGAGAACTTTCCTAAATCGCTCCTCAGCTTGGACTCCTTACTGATTTTTTTTTAGGCTAAGTTAGGAGGCTATTCTCATAGTGTTTGTGAATACGGCCCTAGCTCTGTCTTGTGACACTGTGGGGCTTCCTATACAATATTAAACTTCTGCTGTCACATTACAGTAAATCAATAATATGACACTCAGGAACCTTTCATTATAACTATACTAATTTTACTTGTAATGGAATTACAATACACTGCGATATAGGTAGTTTAACTTGAGTAAATGACCTGAATGCATCTTTGAACTCTGGTATTTTTATGAGCATATTATCCTCACAGACACTAACACAGCCGAGTTTTATTGTTTCAGCCATGAAAGATAATTTGGACTCAGATCAACTCTATTACTGAGTCAATATCAAGTCATCAAGGCTGCTCGCGGTGGTGGGTTTAATTAGATGGTTTCGGTGGGTGTGGGTGTAATGGCTGGTGGGTGTAAATGAATGCGCACATACAGGAATTGTGTGTGTATGTGTTTGGCAAGAAAACCCGACAAAGTTTCCCACATTTTACTTCTGAGGGCCTCAGGTGTGTACTTTATGGACCTGTCACCATAAATCATTCACGGAGCTCAAAACTGTGAGTATGAGTTACCTTCTATAAATACCTGACATATCAAGCATTTCAGGTCATGTCTCGTGATGTCTGTTTGTTTATTGTTCTCGCTTACAGCTTACAGGCACTAAGGAAAGTCACAAACAGAGGGAGAGAGATGCAGCTGTACAAACTTTACAGTTATTTTTTGATCTATGGAAAAAAGCTATAGATTATGTACGTATCATATATATATATCTTAACTTTAAAAATACCAGTATTTGATTATCATTCTGTAAGATCAGTGACGCATAAGCAGGCCTCACTGTGTCCCATGCACACACACCAGACGTCAGGGAAATAAAACACCAACTCCCACGAAAACTGTTTAATTGACTGCTCAAACATTATTTACACAATTCCAGAGGAACAACACAAGTGCCAGATGACAAAAAAATTGAAGAAGACAGTTCCTACACAAAATAAAAACATAGCATATTTAAATAAAAAGGAAGAGTCACTAGTCTGAATCAAACGTGATGAATTGTCTAAATATGTTTAATGAATCAAGATGTATACAGGATAGGAAAGTGCTTCTCCCATAGAGATTGTGTTATTAAAATCACCTGCAAAACATATCTGCTTGTTTCACCGTTTGCTTTCTGATGATGACATTGAGCTTTGTATTCAAGAGGCGGTTTAAGGCAGGACTGGTCAGCGCCACGATTGATGCCTCAGCGATATCTGGGAAGTGCACTTCAGGACCCGGCGAGTCTACAATCTCCTTGGTTTTACATTCTGGTTTGGATGCTACGCTCCAATAGTTTGTGTTTACAAGGAATGCGACTGCTTGGGACTAAATGTAGAGTAAACCCTAATGCTCAAAAACAAACATTCCTTGTGCCATTTTTAGGGATTTATTGTTGCTTTGGTCTCCTTTACATTAAATCAGTCCCAGTAAGGTTTCTGAATGTGCACAGCAGGACAGCAGGGTGCTTTTGTTGATTGCACTTATTGGAGCGCACAGCGGGGGCAAGT